TCTATCCGTTTAGTACAAACAGTCTACTCCGAAAAAATTTTATTCTTCACCTCTGGTGAAACCAAGCTATAGTGGGGACCTGATCGTTGTTGGGGAACTAGGAACAAGGGAATGACTTGTTTTCCTTCGAAACTTCTCTCCTAACTCCGTTCATGGTATAGGGCTGTGGTTGACAGGTGTGGAACCTGTACTCATCCACCTGCAAGGACTATGGATATACCTGAGTCTCTATCCAAAGTTCCATGAAAAGTTGAACTCCTTCCCTTGTAAGCAGCGAACTGCGACATGGTTTCGATACTTTCTCACGAAGGGAAGTTGACATAACAAGCAGGAAATAGCGGCGGTTCCCCAACGTAGATAAGAAATTTCGAACCACACTTACAGTAATTTAGTAGTAAACAAATGACCAAATAGTAGTAGGTGGGGTAACAGAAATAATGTAGTCATGGTTTTCAAAGTTTTCAAGATCAAACCTCACTAGTGCAGTTGTAGGTAAGATGATGAAGATAAGTAAAAAGCCGATTAGCCGCAACATTACGTAATGGGACGGGTCGAGGCGACAACATGCTGTGAAGCCCGTTCCAACCACAGGCTGTAACTGGCTTCCGAATGGCGTCGCTCTAGCTGGTACATATATCAAAAGATAGAAACTAAAAGTCGATAATAAGAAACAGGTCTGCCGCTGGCTTGAGAGCCGTCCATCACATTGAATTTTGTCTGGAACAGACATTTTCGTGGCTTAATCATAACCACAAGAAAATAACGAATGGTTAGATCAGGGTTGAGAGCTTTTGTAGGCCTGGTGTGAAGATAGATGGTAAAGCTCATACTTTGGACGAGAATGGTTTCATGTTTAAAAGTAGCTCAAAGTTTTCCGATTTTTTCCCAGTGAACTATAAGTGAAAGAAGCCCTCACGTTGCCCAGTTCTCTTCATCGCTTTCTCAGGACTGCGCCATGCAGTCAACTTTCAATTTGTTGTAACTTAATCACTTATTAGGCAAACCATTGAAAACATGTGGATCGATCCTCAAGCGCTAGTGACAGCACTTGCCACAACAATATCACCACCCTTGAAGTTAAGGTGATTAAGGTGAGGGGAATGAGATTAATGGGATTCGGACGTACTTTTTCCAGTTGACATCGATCACATGGGCACCTATCCTATTCGAATTCAAGTATATACATTTTATATGTGGTTTTTGAAAACAGTGAGGTAGTACCGAGTACTGCTGCCATCACGTATGCGGCCCCTAGACCAAATCTCAAGCCTTCGCTCGCTCACGCAATTCCAGAGTTTTTTCTATCTAAGGACTGGTTAATTAGTACAACGCTCGTCCGGGCATTTAAAAACTCTGAGTGACCTTTGCCAATCCCCACAAGTCGTTGTATAGAATGAGTACGCCTACAACTGCATATGTCTTTCTGAATGGAAGTCGAATGAGTGGGCGCAATATGAACGAGGTTGATCTCCCGGAAGTTTCAGTCTTTTGATTTCGTATTGCAATTTTGGTAAGGTCCAATTAGTATGAGTTATTTTCTATTGGCGTGGAATGGTAGACTCTCCAAAATATGAGACTGCACACAGAGCCGTGCCAGTTACAGGCATATGTACGACTGCATTGTCACACATTTGAACGAAAATATTTATTTTAATCAAATGTATATATCGTGTTTGAATATTGTTTGAACAAAAAATTTGAGATTTAAAAAAAATTGGTGCTTTGCTCATTGATTTTTCAATATAAGCCTGTTCGTGTATGCTTTGTATAAGGTCAACGAAGCAATGATCGTCAGAGCAGCAGTCGTGGTCCCATAGCAAAGGGCCAGTATGTACAAATGAAATGTATCACTGAACGGTATCATCTGTAAGCGCATAAAATCATTTTCAGCCCCTGTGATCACAGTATAAACTTACATCGCCTTCAGAAATAGTGTCGTCGTCACCTGAAATCGAATGGGTTGTTGTTTACAATATTTACAAGAACTGGGTATGCCTGCTCCACGAATGGTACTTTTCTGTAAGGAACGATAATCAACTCACGATAGCTATCCAAATTTGTACATTTATATCCTTTACAACAGCACGTCAAGAAGATCGCTGACGTCCCTGCATACAGTACCTCTGATGGAGCACAGGTCCGTTCACGAGCAGAGCATGAGCTGAGAAGGAGACAAATTGTATGGAGGCTTCTACCTACTTTTCTACCTAGAATAGTGCTAGCATATTTCCTATATTCCCTTCCTGATAAACTCATGAGTAAATCGGATTCAGGTCTCCCCTTCCTGCTCCTGTAGATCCAATCGGGAGCAGTCGCCGCCTCTGAGGATGACCGTGTTGCAGCCACCCTTCTAGTGTACAGGAACGTTGAGCTTGGACGGTACGACATTAGATAAGTACTGAGCGGAGAGCAGAATGGGCCTATATGAATCGTTCTTTCCACATCCTCTCACCTACTCACAGTACACACTCGTCATGACCTCATGGACATTTCGCCCTTCTAAGTAGGCGTATGGATCGAGCGCTGCAGAGCGAGCATCTGAAATGATCGATAGGACTTACTTGTAGATAGCAATATCGTCAATGGTCACGACATTTCTGACTTCTGAGCTGTTAGGTGATGTCTGAAACGCATCTAGTATCCTACTGAGCATGTCTACCTGAAATGTGAGCTTGTTCAAACCTCAAAAGTGACAAGCCGTTCACCACCATCACGAATACAACCCGATATGACGTCATCCGGACCGACAAATGCCACTATGCATGAAAATCCACCGGAAAACAAACATGGAACAAATTTCTGAAAGCAAGAGATTTCAAGTAAGGCGTCAGGATTAGAAGTTCCGCCAGCTTTGTTACGTGCTCTGGATCTACCCCACCACCGTTTCTATCTTACACATAGGTATCGAGCAAAGGCAAAGATCAGTCAAGCCTCCAGGACAGTAGACAGGCTAGCTGCCGTGAAAAAGGTCTTCGACCACAGCTTGGAATGGTAGGGCTGTGTGGCCCCCACCATATGAAGCTGTGTGTGTGTCAGTTCTTAGCAAGTTGCCGATCGGAGCGTCATAAATTTGTTGATCGCCTTAGTTAGTTTTCCCATTTTATACAATCCGACTGACTCATTACCCTAACGTAAGAGACAAAGGAGATTTTAAAGTCCCATGTATGACACAATAACCCCCGCAATGCTCCCTTCAGGGGCTGCATCGCTTTATGCGAAGGAAGCGCTGTTCACATGATATGCTTTTGGTGAGCCTCACCTTGCTCCGCCTTGTGAAGGAGGGTGTAGTCTTCAGTCAAGCTCGGTCTTATCAGGATAACATGAGGCGTACATGATTGAAAGAGAGAACGTGAATTTGGAGGGAAGCAAAGTTCCCACAGGTACCATGATGGGCGTCTTGAAATGGTAACCAGTGAGACACAGGAGCCTCGAGATATCTTGTAGAACTCACTATTCACGTGGTATAAGACCGCTGTAGGGCTAAGACTGGGTGTTGCTGCACGACGACTGCAAGGATTTTGTCGGACAACGGCCCAGCGCAATACCCCGGTGTTCTAGCCGTTTTTATTCGGAACCATGCAGGAATAGGCGATGAGCCTGGTTATCTGAAGGTTGCGCAGTTCTAGAACAACGTAGCAAATAATAGGGTTGCCCATCCTATGAAGTGGCTGAAAAGCCTAGCTTCCAATGCATTCAGGGTTACTGTTTCGGTTAACTGTACTGTGCTGTAACCTTCAAACAACTCTGAGTAGTGGAGTAACGTTGGCTCCTATTGACGCGCATGCTTTGAAAGAAATCACAGACGTAGCCCAGGTAGCATCGTTACCGTTGAAATGTTACCGTTGTACTGTTTTCGTCATTGCAATCCTCATCAACAGCTGTATTGAATAACATCTTCTTACTGCCAGGATAAGGTTGATATGGGCACAGACCGTAGGAGGGCCAAGTTCTAAAAACAAGCTCGTTTTTCATGAGTGGATTTTTGGATCATCAGAAAGTCCAAGTGGTATTCGGTAGGCTCAGAAGCATTGCCAACGACCAGGGCTGGAACAGACCGCCAGCGCCGATATGTCAGCTACCCTGAGGATAGCCATTTAGAAGGCATTTGAGGGTCTCCCCATTTCGTTTCAGTGGGGTAGGCACAATAGTGGTCCCGAGCACTGATCGTAAACAACGATTTAGGTTTGACTAGAACGAAATCCAACCTACAAGGCTGAGTTCTTCTTGCTCTTGAAATGCCGACAATGAACACCAACACTATGGCGACCGCATGCATTCAATAGAAACCTCACTGAAGATCCTCTATAAACAACAGGCTAGTTATCACAAAATGCTCCTCCAATAACAGTAGTGATGAATGACCTCATTAACATCCTCACCACTTTGAGCTTGAAGTCCTTTCCTTACTCTAAGACTAGGCTACAATCCAACTTCCCCAATGAGATCTGCCCACCAAACAGGTTCCCAACCAAATTACATTGGCTCGAATCTGTGCTAAGCCTAAGTTTGAAGGCACAGTTTACTACAATTTTGTGAGGAACCCGTTTTTATACGAAAAGCTTAAGGATAGATTGGGAACAGTTCATCGGTAGTGAAAGAAGCGAAGCGAGATTGCCATGACGGAAATAGCATGAAAGGGGTATCCGAACGAGATTTCACTTATTGCAATTGCACGAAGAGCTGACTACATCAAGCCAGAACTGTCAGAAATGTCTTTCACTGTCGCTATGAGTCTTAACAAGTTGTTTGAACTCCCTACATGGGTTCCCTTGTGATCGGTGCAACCTC